TCGTCCGCGACGACGCCTGCCGGACATGGTCTAACCCCGGTGTGACTGGGACATTCGTCCGCGACGACGCCTGCCGGACATGCGCTGTCCAGTCATGTGCTGCTTCGACTCAAGTCAAACGGCGGTCGGTACAGTGCTTTATTCGTGTGGAAAGCGCTGACGTCTTCTAGTCCAGTCATTGCCACAGTTATTCACCGCATTCTCGCCAGCACAATGGATATAGGGATCTGAAACGGAAAAGGCTGGTTCAGCACTTAAAACACCTTTTTGCAGCTCAGCGTTCCAAAAATCAGTCCAAAAACGCCGCCAGTCGACCCATACAGCAGCAAACGCAATAGTTCAAGTCTGGACGTAGAGTCATCAAGCCATCTCGGCGTGAATCGTCCACATCGTGCGACGTTATCGTCCAAATCGTGTCAATATCAATCGACTGAACGCACGAGCTACCTGTGATCAATCCGGCGTCAATCGACAACATCACGCGACTGTACGCACAAGCAATTTGTGATCCATAGGCAGCAATCGTCAAAATCGTGTGACTGAACGCACGAACAATCTGTGATAGATCCGGAGTCAATCGTCAATATCATGTGCCTGTACGTACAAACAATCTGTGATCAATCATCCTTGGAGCAAGACTGGAACAAGCCCAGCTTCCTCATCCGCTCGAACTCCGCCTCCGCATCGTAGTTCCTGCAGACAAAACAAAACCACGTCGGTATATCGCCATCGTGTACACCACAGGACGATACCAGGGTCAGTTCTTGGCATTGACAGTTTTCCCTCATTGTTACCTCCTGGACGTCAATGTTCACCTCCTGTCTCAATTCTCACACATTATAATCATCACATCACGTAATCACATAACGATCACATCACACACTAATCTTAATATTTCGCAGGGCCGTTTTGAACACAGTTCAGCATCACTCCTTTGGTAAAGCGCCACACAGAACATGAGTAGCTTAACTGATGCCTAAACGATACGCAGCCATCTGAAGAAGGAGGCCGTAATGCGACAGTTCTGGAAACGACGAAATTTATCAAAAATTCGTCAAGAAACCAACAACTACATCAATGTCAAGCCAAAATAACATCAAATATCGTCAGCAACAGCACACAACTTCCTTTTCTGTACCCACACATTGTAACAGAGTGCAGGGACCACTCACTTGTAGAATTCGGCGTACTTCTGCTGCCTGGGCTGCTTCACCAGGAAATAGTAGGAGGAGACGGCGACAGTGCAGACGCCGGCTGTCATCGCCAGATTGCGCTTGATGACGCCCTGCAGTAGGTTCCGGAGCTGGGGCTTGGGCAGCGACATCTCTGGACAGAGAAAAGAAATGTCACAGCCACCTTGAGCAGATCACATGAACTACCATGTCTGAGGTGCACATATTTCAGACATGGCTGTGGAGCAGGTAGTTTTCAGGTTGGTGAGCATCCCCAACACCAAACAGGTGCTTGGGTCATGCTGAACATGTTATTATGATGCTCACTAACAGGCCTGTGCTAGAAATGAGTGATGGAGAACAGCTGATGTACATCCACCAGCAAAACTACCTTCAGCTTTTCACACACAGTCATTATGAACATGAAATATTTCAGATTATTTCCTGCCCTTAAGCCCTTGTGCCAGCAGGCAGCCCTGCCCAGTATGGCTATCAGGTGTCCTAAATTCTAAAAGTTTTGCAACCACCAACTGCAGGCCCATGTAGTCCTTACAAACAAGCTATTTCTTAAACATTTGTGTTACATAAATCATTATTTTAAAGAAAGTGTTCTATATTTATGTGAGGATTCAGACTGAAATAGCCATCTTGAAGATCATTTGGTGCAGTTCACAGGCCTGCCCTTCCTGAAACCTGAAACCCTTTTATTTCTGTGCCACACATCCATGAAAATGTAGACTATTTCAAGGTCAACCAGCTATCCATGATGCCTTTACAATACCATTCAAATCCTGCCATTCCATTGGCCATGCAAGGATCAAGGCTCACAAAATATAATTGTTGAGCCCTTCATTCTGGTGCATGTGGACACAATTTCCAGGTACAATGGTTGTCAATTGGCCCCCAATCAATCCTGTACAGGGCACAATCATGCAATCACACAATGTTGTATTGAGGGGTATATATATCAAATAGGAAAATTAAGTTGTCTTGAGAAGTCCCTTTCATTTAAAAGGATACCAACAAGTGAAGTACCACAATCATACTAGATACATGACTAATACCAAAAGTGTACCTTGGCTTATTTCATAATATTTCATGGTCACTTCAATATCCTCAAATATGGAATATTCCATTTAAGTTAATTTCCTCAAAGTTCCTTCCAGTGATAATACCTGGTGTGGATAAAGAACAATTGACTGCAGTGAGTGCCAGCTTTTAAAAGAATATGGTGGCCTAGATAAAAAATAAAACATGTTTTCCCCAAAATTGGCAAGCATATTTGCTACAAAATCATGGCTGTTGTAGTTGTACAATGTGGCCACCACCAGTAGGAGTCATCAGCACTCACTTATTTCAATTTCACTAATGCTGCAATAAACTGACTGCAATATGTGGCACCTTTTAAAAATACAGGGTGGCCTGGCTCAAAATAGCATGTGTTTTCCCAACAGTAGGAAGTGTATTTCCTGCATTATCATGCCTATGGCGGTTATACAACAGGACCACCAAACAGAGGGAGTCATTAGTGCCTCCTTGCTTGGATCTAATAAGATTTTATCCTATGACTTAACAAAATCTTGTACATAAATTCAAGCAAACAAAGCTGTGGGAGAAATCAGTTTTGGGAGCAGAGCAGGTCAATCCTTTTAGCAAAGCCCCAACCTCCAAAGAAATTTTAGAAAATGACACTCCTTCTTCTGTAGCATAATGATGGTAATCCCAATAGGCAAAGCCTGCCTGGCTATGACATTTCCTTGATGCTTGGGACCAGCTTTGTCATTCTTCTATGGACATACATCTGCTTCCGCTCTCCCTAGTTGAAAGGTCCCCACACAATGCTGTCATTCTCTAGAAAAGGTCATACAGAGTTCTGAAGACAAAAGATGAGGTCTTCAATAATGCCCCCTTTTAATTAACCTTTTAGCACCCTACATAGCAGATAGCAATCATTTTCATAAGCTGACACACAAGGTTGGGCTCATCTCACACATGCACTTAATTTTGGTGATGAAAATTCAGGTTGCATTTATTATACCATCATGTAGATATTTGGTAGGAGAGTGGTCTTTGAAGATATGGTCATTTTCCCACCTCAGAAAAATGATTTGGGATGTAAATAGTGCAGGCTCCTATATCCTGACATGCAACTTTGTCCTGGGCTATAAATAAATACATGCTGCATAGACTACACCTGGCATAGAAGCAAAAGTGCCCACAGATTTAAGCACATGTACACCATAAATATGAGCATTCAAGTTATGTGCACGTTCCCCTATTGATTTCAGCTCATGGTCATAATTATTATATTGTTATGGTACTTTCATGATGATAATTTGGGTTTTAGGGCGTGCAGACTTCTGAGGCCATCTTGTGCCAATGTACTGGTACTTTCAACCAAAAAAGGCCCCAATGCATGCATATGCATTATTTTCGAACAACAGTAACTCAACACCCAGCCCGATTAAGCCCCAACTGGACTTTGTGCACTCATGTGCCACATCAAACGCATTAGCATCACCTGAGCACCCGGTGACCCGAATTAAATTTTGGCGAACTGACACATGTCCCAAAGAAGTTCGTACATTAATCATACTACACCCCATACTTTCAGAGGGTGTTTTTACAGTCTGAACGACTACACATCTAAGGAATGAAGGCAGTTACCGCCATCGTACACAATCACATTTACCTCTCGACTTAACTGAAGGTGTCGATATCCGAGTCGAATTAATACCACCGGCGGACCCCAACCACTCCGACTTGTTCCCAGTTCGCCACAGAGGATGAGCTCGATGAGGCCGAACTGAAAAAGAAGTCATGGTGCTAGATTGCATATTAAATCCATCGGGTATATTTTGTATTTAAATCATTATCATGTCTCTTTTGCAATTTTTGGCTCATTCAAACTTAAAACATAATTTTTTATCACTAAAAAGTGAATCTTAGCTGACAATTATATCAAAATATTACATATAATGCGAGTATTATTTTATAATACGTCAGCAAACATGGAAACTTGGTGAAAGACTTCCGCGATGGCCGTTCGAGGTGGCTGCTATTAAAATAGATACCTGCGCATTTCATGATGTAGTTTTGCTGAAATCATTTAAATTTGTGCTGTTTTTCTAGCACCGTCTTTCAAGCACAGTGATGCCCTCAATGTTGGTGCGGGAAAGCTCTCAAAGCAACCGTTTTGCGGAGACTGAATCTATTTACGTTTGGGTATGCTGCCGTTGGCACTCCTGCGGGGGCTATGGCGGGTGCGTAGTTCCGCAGAATGAGTTGGGGGCTGAGCATGCGAAAAATTCGGCAGCTTACCCCACGAATGCGCGGAAAAACAATGTTTTCCCAAGATTTGGCCCAAATTTTTCTTGAAGTTGGGGGGCTAGTATAAACCAAGTTGGGGACCGGGCGGGGCTCTGCCGCCCCGCCCTTCCCAACTAAAAAGGCTACACACCCCAGGTCACATTTTCGGGAGTGGAGAAAGGCAAAAGAGGACGGGGCCGCGGTGGCAAGTAGCCCATCTTCTGAATCTTTTTAAAGGCACTGCGCAATGTATGCAGGTGTCAGTGTGCTGAATAAGAAATCCTTGCAGTTGTTTAAAAAGCAGATTAAGCAAATGAATATTGCGACGCATACCGTGCAATGAATTTTGTTTGCTTTTGGTGATAAAATGGTTCTTTTCAGTGGAACTATTCGAGTTCTGCCTCCACTACCATGATTCTGTACTCACAACTACAAAATAGCCTGCCATGGGCCAATGAGTCGACGGCGGCTCAGCATATGCCTAAAGGTGGGTTTCAGGTGATGACCATATGGGCCGCCTATGATAATTAACACGCTTCTAAGCTCAATTAATCCGTAATTGAAGCAGTACTTTACATCGAGATGATAGTCAGGCACCTTGTGAGGAACCAGGTTCCATGCGTGTGTCAGGGCAAATCCAACAAACATGTTCATTTCCTGTAATCGGGCACCATATGGGCCGTTGCGGTGGTGCGGTGCGGTGGTGCGGTAGTGGGCTGGTGCGGCCATGTGGTGGCCATCTGAGGCTCATGCAGTGAGGTGGAGAAGAAACCACTGTTTCTTAGAACGTGGCCGGTGATATCCCTGACGGCATAACAGGAAATGGGGCACAGGGGAATGCGACAGAGACTCGAATTGGACTGGATGACGGGCACGAAGTCGTGTCCGTCATCTCTCGGCTCTCGGCTCGGCATCGACTCCCGGCTCTCCTCAGTCGGCTTACGGTACACATAGGCGAGCCTCTCGTGCTGTGTCTGTTATACTATGTATAACCATTCGTGTTAATAGCATGTTAGTCCTGTTAAATTTCATGATCGCAAAGATCCGCACACGAAGCCCTCCCGTGACACCCCTCTCTTAGTTCAGGGCATCTGGATGCGTTTCATGTATTCGGGTAAAAAGCCGCCGAAGGCCCAGTCACGCAGTCTCACCATGGAACGTGCATGTGTACAGGAGCCAGCCAACCGCCCGCCTGCGAGCGGTTCCACTGTTTCGGAGACGCAGCCCTTGACCCGGCCGCGCCGACCTCCAGGAGGGCAGCCAAGATTTTCTGAACGTGGGAAACGGAGCGGCACCTATGGGAGCACTCATCAGAAGGATATCGAGGGAACCGTTCATGTTTGCGGGAGGCCTAAGGGAGCCCCCGCTGCCTGCGCCGCTAGCGACCTCCCTGGCAGCGTGTCACCATGCTCCGGGTCTACTGGCCCCGCCCCTAGGGATGTCCGCCCCCAATCAGCGTGCGCGTCGGCCGGGCACGTGTGTGTAAAACACATGTTGGACACCCGCAACAGTATCACGAACTATCTTCCCTTACACCATGCCACCGCAGAAAGAGCCTTCGGGAATCTGCCTGCCTTAGACCGCCTGCCAATGACTTGGTCCAACGGACATTCAACTGCCCATCATTCAACGTAGACGACTTGGTCTGCTTTTGTGTGTAGGCAGGGGCGTAGCCAGAGCCTTGCTAAGGGGAACACAGGTTTGACAAAAGGTCTTTTATGGTACACACTTCCCCCCAAAAGTCCCCGCTTATAGCTTACTTGTTAACAAGGGATGCAGTTTATATTGTTATTCTTACCTTGTAACCAGAACAGAAACTAGATGCTTCCGTGAAATCACTTCTGTTTGTATTTTGAAGTCAATAAACTGAAGAAACCGGGCGTTGAACGACCGCATGGAATAAATCACCGGTGCCCTTAATCTACAATGGTTTAGTAGACGTTTTATTAACCGATAGAATTCAGAGGCTATGTGAGAATGTTTAATCTGGTACCGCAGACATTAAGGATATGGCGAAGGTGTATTGTAAATCGCTATGCTCTATCGAAATTTGAAGATTAAAGTTGTATTGTAAATGGAGTGGTCAGTAACATGCATTACTATGGCTAAGCTATGCTTTTCTGAGAATGTTCAATATTCGATCAGAATGGGTTCGTGAAATAATCAATGTAATGTGGTTTTTTGACATGCGCGCTTGCGAATCTTAGCTACAAAAAACCTTGACACCAGACGTTGCAGTCTCCCTAGTCTGCGGAGCGTAAGTTCAGTGGCTGGTTTTTGTCGTGGCCCACCGGTGGATGAAAATGATGACGGTTCTGGAACAATTACCTCTAAGCACTTAAATCAATCAGTGATGCAAGGTATGTGACGCAGTTTTGAGCATGCGCACTCGCAACCCTTGGTAACAAAACCTCCACGCCAGGCGCTGCAGTCTCCGTAAGCCGCGCAGCTTCGGCCCAGCAGCTAATACTAAGCCGTGGCCAAGAGGTGTGCAAAAATGATGACGTTTCTAAAAGAAGTACCTTTGAACGGTCCAGGACATCAAATCTGACATTTAGAAAGCAGTCTGGGCGCATATTTCACATGTGCGATTCTCAGACTGATACTAAGAACGGATAGGCCCTTAAAGCACCGCAAAGTGGTTCTGGAATCTGGTGGTGGAACTGAAAGAGTTAGCTAGAGTCTCTACTTTTCGTGTAATCTGTCGAGACGACAAATTAATACGGCGCCCGTCGTCTGGTGGCACGTGCAGTGGCCGACGCCGTTCAGTTATAACACGCGTTTGGGTGGGGGCGGTCAAATTGACCCCCCCAAAGGTCTTTGCAGAATGGTTTCCGAATGGCGCGGCAAGGTCGCGCTAAATTTTGCATAGCTGTAGACAATTGAATGGCGGATCGTTTGCCATCACAAATTTAGATGTACCTTGTAAGGTCGCTGACCTATCGCGGGTCAAAGTCAGGCCATGGTTGCAGCGAAGCCAATTTCTAGGGAATCCTTCAATCTGATCCAACAACGGAGCGTTATACGAAGCCATACATCCCTGAGATGCTTTCTTAGGCAACACAACAGTTGAATGAGAAACTTGCATTGATCTAAGGTCATGTATAAAGGTCACACCAAGGTCAAAATTACCCTGTTTTGTTACTATACGGCTTGCTGTGTGGGATAATTTCTGGTGCTCATTTCAGGTTAATTGATAGCAGGGACCGCATTATGCATCTTCCATGGATTTCTATCGACTTCTTAGGTGTCAGGATAGGTTATTGACCTAAAATGACCCAGGTCAACATTTCGTTTTAGGAACATACTGCCCGGCGTAATCTTTGTCGCTTAGTCAAATGCAAAACCAAAAGCAATCTTGTGTGATTTTGGTCACCTTGACCTTCATAAGGTCAAACAAGACCACTGACCTTTAATGGGAATGTGACCTCTTGCTTAGAAACGGTTATCTAGGTTCTGGGGTCACTTTGGAGACCAACCTGGAACCTGACCTTGCTTGACCTTTTTAACCCGAAGGTCATGGTCTAGGAACCTGGAACTTTGACCTAAGTGAGTTCACGTACAGGTTAACATACCTGCAAATTTAGTGTCTCTAGCTTTCTTAGTTCCCGAAATCTCAGGGGGTCAAATGGACCCCCCCCCCCCCAAACGCCCGAGCTAAGGGTATCTAGCCGGCCACCCGGGCGCGTGTTAAGGAAGCTGCAACCCAGGCCATCGCTGTCCCTGCTCTCGAGGTTACGGGTGGCATATTCGAACCTTTTGATGTAAGCTGTTTTCACTAATCCATTATGAAGAGATGGAAGTTCGCAGCCAAATATGGGATGGTTTTGTTTGTTTTTTGTAAAAGTCATTTCGACCCACTCTATTCAACAATAATGAGACTCGTTATTTCCTTCCGGGCAAGGGATAGAAAACCAGGCGCACATTTTCACATGCGTGCTCGCAAATCTCACACCTTGAGTAGAACACCAGGGGCACATTACCGGTTCCGGTCCAGGGCTGAAGAACCACTTTGTCACATCGCGAAGTGTCTTCCGGTTGTCATTCTGGCAACACAGGACGGGATCTCCTAGTCGATCGGAGGTCATTAGAAGGATATATCATTTCACATTGTTCCCCTCCCTGACACGAAAGGCCTTCTGACCCGCGCAGTTGACCCCGGATCAGCACAGGAACCCTCATTAACGCAACAATATCCTTGATCGCCGCAGGTGGTCCAGTAATTGTCATTCAGGCTCCAGTTTCGTGCTGTCCTGTGTTCTCAAGCGTTATTGAGGACTCCCTGAACGTACACTAGATGAAATAGGCCCCAAATTATTTTATTAACATGGCTTATCTATGATCGTCTTAAAATTTTCAAGATTCAGTCAAAATTAATAGTTGATAACGACTGTGTAATATGGTTTTGAATATGTGCGCTCAGTCATAGCGACAATAGCCTCGCCGCCAAGCGTTGCAGTCTCCATAGGCCGCGTGGCGCAGGCCTGCGGC